TGGTAAATGGCTCATTTGGCTGGTTGATACACCCCCATGTCTTCCATTTAAAACCACTGATTTGCCTTGATGCTTGAGAGTTATGGAGTGCCTCTTGTTCCTTTCCTTAAGCTTCTATTCCATAGAGTTTCCACAATGTTAGAAGATTCCTTATTCCCAAGGGCAAGGTGACACTCCCCTCACCCTGTACCTGCACTCATATTCATCTCTCTCACTGAAGGGCTTTGACAGGGACTATGTGGAGCTAGGAATGGAGATGTGTCAGACACCTAGGGAATTTTTGATCCTGCCCTGTGCTTTTCTGGTGTTACATCGTAGCTTATGAGCTAAATCCCATTTTGTTCTGTTGACACTGGACTCCCCAAACTTTCATGTTACACAGGTTTAAGAGGGAATGTATGAGTTTTCTCTTCCTCATCTTCTCCACTCAGAAGGAGATCCAGAATTGAATACCACATCCACAAATCAATTTGAATACCACCATTGTCACTTACTGGTGGTTTTATCTAGGTGTTTAATAATCTCAAGCTTTCTATCAGGGGTGGGGGATCCAACTCGGGAGTTATGGTTCTAAATATGCCTGTAAGTTAGCATCTTTTTGTTTTTCTAACATTATTATTTGTTGTTTGTTTTTTATTTTGTTTCTTGGAGACAGGATCTCACTATGTAGCTCAGGCTAGCCTCAGTGTTTGCAATTCTCCTGCCTCAGCCTTGTAAATGCTGGGATTATAGGTAGGAACCATTAGACACAGCTTATACAGAAAAATTAGCCAAGGTAACATTTATGTACTTAATTTTAATGCCAGCTTGCTGATTACAGAAATGGAGAGGGTTTGTGGCTTTTGTTTGGCACAACATTGCACTTATTAAGCATTTATTATCTACTTAATGGATGCAAACTCCGAACCAAAATGTACATAGATGATAAAATACTTTAACTCAACAAGACTAAGTGTTGCATCATGAAGGAAATGAATCATTAAGAGGCATTTCCTCTTATATTTGAAGAATAAATCCATTAGTTTGTGTTTAATCTGTGCCTGGGTTATCTGCCCAGGTAATTGCTTCAAATACACATTTGACCACGTCAGCATTTATAAACCCACACCCAGTAAGCAAGTGGAAATTTTCCACTTTCCCTATCCTATTAGTATAAAAGAAGTCTGATGAAAAGTTGTGTTCTTTGCCCTTGAAACTGACCATGTGACTTTTGACTCATGACAGCTATGCTCTTATCAGCAGCCATGAGAGAAAAACACTTAGAGAAGGGAAGAACCACAGGAAATGACTCCAAAAGTTTTATCATATGGAAATGGATGAGCATTTACTTGCTTGTTTCACAGAATTGCTATGCTCAGGCAGAGCTGTGGCTGGGCAGGAAAGAAATTGTTTATGGGCTATCTGGATGGAGTGACATAAGTAGCTTGTGGTAGGTACTACTTGTCTGGGAGAGTTTACTCAGAATAAGCAACATTTTGTGTGTAAGGTCAATGGGAGAGTATTGTGTAATTGTGGGTGAATTTGGGTTCTGATCCTCCTGAAGTGCCAGCCACCTCATTATTTTCAGGCAGGGTCATTTATGGTCTGAGACTAAAGAGGAAGTTAGGTACCAAAGGATAACTAGGTGTCAGTTAGGTGTTCCTCCAAACCATAGCAGGGCAGATGTAGAGCTTTGTCCTAATGGTCATGGTTAGGCTGGCTAGACAGCAAGTGCCAGTCATCCACTGCTTCCATGTCTTTAGTGAGGAGACTAGAAGTTTGTATTGACATGCCTGTTTCTATTTGTTTTTAAATATGGATTCTTAGGCTCAAAAACTCAGGTCCCTATGCTTTGAAATCAAGCACTTTCCTGACTGAGTCCCAAAACATTTTTGATCCATGCCAACTAATCTAAAATCAATGTGGCTAAAACTGAGGATTTTGATATGTCTGAATGGTACATTTGTTCAAGCATTCTCTCCTACTGGAAACTCGTGGATTTTGTATCTAGTAGCATCTCTGGACGAGTTCAGCGTCTCTCAGGACCACAGAAGAGATGATCTTCCAAGGCCTCATGACAACTATATCACTTGTGCTGTTTATTTTGCAGCTCTGGGAAGTGATGGCAAGTGGGCAGTGAAAAATCGGGGCCACGCTCTCCTAAAAGGAAAGAGGTAGTTAGGTACCAGAGGACAATCAAGGTTGGAATTGAGTGCAGTTAGGTGCTCATTGAAACCAAAGAGCAGGACAGATGGAGAGTTCTGCCATAATGGAGCTTGATTTATAACACCAAGCAAGAGTTCTTCTTCCCTCTTCATACAATCCAAGCTACTTGATCTTGATATGGGAGGCCCAGAGCATCTGTCTTCAGAGGGTATTTTATGTGTGTGGGGTATGCAAATAAAAGATATAAACAAAAACAAAGAAAATGAAAGGAGAAGATAGATATAAGATGGAAGGGAATAATGAGGAGAGGAGGAAGAAAGGAGGAATAGAGGGAGGCAGAAGGAATGGAGGAGGGAGAAAGGGAGGAAAAGAGAGTAGGAGGTAAAAAGAATATCCTCTAGCCTCATCTCAGTATCTACAGTCACTTATCCCACCCAAGAAAACCAGACTGTCTCAGAATAGAGGCCTGGCTCTCCAGACCGAGCAGCATTTGCTCTCTTCATTCCAGTGTCAAGCTTCTGTTTCATGTGGCATCTCATCTCCACAACCAAATCCTCTAAATCAGGCTCATCACCTGATAGAGCTGGTCTCACTCCTGTGGCTCCGGAGGGGGCGCTAACAAGTGGGTCAGCATAATTCCAGAGTGCCCTCACACAGCAAGCCAGCTGCTCAACCACACTGTACATTCCTCAATTTCCTTATTTGGAAAATGCAAAACATTCTATGAAGATTTTTATTTGAATCATGTTGAGAGAGAATCAGGATGGAAGCATTCCCACGCATTTCCCCAGTCCTGAAACAAGCTTCTCTTGTGCTGCATAGTCCTAGGCTCAAATGAGCTCAGCACTTCCTGCTTCCTTCAATTCTGCCATATTGGTTGAAACATAATCCAGGAAACTTGGGCTCTAGAGACTGACTGGCATGAGGGTTTAATAAACCCATACAATTTGTTTTTTATCATAACCACAAAAACAGTTCAATATAAACTTCTGTCAGAAATAGGAGGATAAAGTCAATCTGGCTTTGTTCTATGATCTTAGCATTTTACTCATGCTGCAAAGGAAAGTATAATAAAAGCCCCTGTTCAGACTTCAAGAATGTGTACCAAATTCTAGACAACCACTGACAGTTGATCTTCACTTAAAGGGAATAATCCCTACTAAGAATGCATAGAGAATTGCAAATAGCCCTGGCTCATCCACTACATAGGTACAAACCTACTCTACCTAGATGGAAGGTTTTCTCTAGACCTCCAGAATCACTATGTGGTCCCTCCACCTCCTAAAGAGCAAGTACTTCCTGTGGGGCTCTTGCACACTTTCCTAATCTACTTTCTCATTTTTATGCTCCTCCCACAATCCCCACGCAGGTTCACACCTAAGTGGGTATGAGAAAGACTCTTGGATATGATAAGACACATGGGGCAGGAGTCTTCTGCTCCGGAAGGTGATAGTGGAGAAGGGTTTGGGCCCCTCTCTGCAGTGTGGATGCAAGGTGGAGAATATCTTTAGCATGGCATAACTGGGAATGCTCTCACTTGGTTAGAAGTCCTGCAGCAGCCTGGAAGAGGGAAATTTGGGTGTGTGGGGGGTGTTACAGACTTCCTTTGTGCCTCTCATTTCTGCTTTCTGGGTCCTTTCTGTAGCTTTTACAAACAGTGGCTTTTCACATACATTTTTCAGGAATCCAGTCTCTGTATGAGATAAGGTGTAGGGTACATTGTCTTTTAAGTGAACTAGGGAGTCGGCACAGATAGAACAGTGTGAGGTTCAGCAAGAGACTGGGCATCTAGAGCCAGAATATTTCCCTGATGGCTGCTTGGACTTTCCTGAGGAGTTCATATCTGCATGCATGGGTGGAAGGGTCCCCTAAGACAACATTCAAGACTTGAGGAATTGCCAGGCATAGTTCCTCTCCCAACTCCTAATACTGTCTCCCCAGATGAGGAGCACTTCTTCCCAAAGAGGTAGTTATCAGACTTCCCTGTCTCCAGATACAAGCAAATGTGCACTGATGCTTAGAGGCTTGTGAGATGTTAGTAAGCCACTGAGGACACAAAGCAGCTTTCATACTCATGGCACACGTCAGCAAGAATGCCTCAATTAAAAGTTCCAGGCAAAGAATTGGGGGTGCTTCTCAAGGGACAAGCACTTGCCGAGCAAGAATGTCGAAAGCCCTGCATTCCACCCCCAACAATTTCCATGAAAAAAATTAAATTTGTAACAAGCCACATATGGATATAAAAGGGATGTAGACTCTAAAGATAGATAGGGGGAGCAAAAATAATGAACTCTTAATTCTATTCAGTTTAGCAAAAATGCAAAAAATATGTATGCATATGTGTAGAAATACAGATATGTCCATGCAAACAAATAGAATACACATATAATACACATGTGCATACATATGTATATATATTTTTATATATGCATAGGATATATTCAAAATCACATCCGTGCAAACATGTATAGATTGTGAGGTTTCCCAAACATGCACCCAGATATATGCATACACATACTCACATGAGTGCACACATAGGCATAGACAGTGATTGAGGCATTGACATAAGTTTTACATTTACTTTTCTATAATTTAGGCTTATGTGAGAGCTTTTCTCCTGTTCTGAGGAATTCTCTGTAAATGTCGGTCACTCCTTATATCCTATGGTCAGAAATAATTGTCGTACCTACATCATGCTCTCCTTGTTTGTTTCCATCCTTGGCAGTACTGCTGTTTGCCCTTTGAATCTTACTGAGAGAGGGTAGACCCTACATTAACAGGGTTAGGGAAATGATCCTCGCCAGACTACATGTACACCTATCTCATGGTATCCTGCTCTCTCTTCTCTCCCATAGTGCCTGGCTTCCCATATCCAGCCGCCACTGCTGCAGCTGCATACCGAGGGGCCCACCTGCGAGGCCGTGGCCGCACCGTGTACAACACCTTCAGGGCTGCAGCGCCCCCACCCCCAATCCCGGCCTATGGCGGGTAAGTACTGCACCCTCCTGGGAGGGGGGCCTCTCTGCACCTGCTCTCCCTCCCCAGAGGCACGGAGTGTTTGCGAACGCATGATGGTCTTGACCACCCCACCAGAAATTCCCCAGCATGCAGCCTAGCGTGCCTGCTGCAGAGCACCTTGCAAAGAGTATTGAAAAATGAGTGTAATTTGTCTGGTCATGGTTGGTGCCTTTAAGCATTCTACATGTCACATGTTGTTATGTAAATTCTCTTTGAGACTGAATGCTGGAGAACAAAGAAATGGTTACAGCCAAAGATGTATTTCTGAGGACTGCAAGCATCTGGTTATTAAGGAGGTTGGACTACATTTACCCCTTGATTTCAAAGGGACATGAGGTTTCCCATACATAAAATTCACTGAGGTGATCTTGCTTCCCTCCTCATAGACATTTTGCACTCCCAGGTGTATGAACTTTTGCCTGAGAAAATTAGATATTGAGTCAAACACAACATTCCAGACAGGAATGAAATTACAGTTAATTTGCCTCTTACTTGCATTTTCCAAAATAGCCCAGCTTGTCCTTTCTCCTCCATGGGAAAAGTGAAAATGGATTTGTTTTCTACTGCTAACTAAGGCTACCTGTGATTGGATGTTGTTACTGACAACTAAAGATCTATGGATTTGGGGGAAGAAAGGAGGGAAGAAAGGAAGGAAGGGGGATAGAGGGAGGGAAGGAAAGATTGACTAACACAAAGGAGAGCACCCTGAAATGGCTCTTCCTCTGCTCTTTCATTAGGCATCTTGGAAGGGCATTCCTCCACCTCTGAGCATGAAGACAGAGAGGTGCCCTGAGGCAGTGGCCCTACATAGGACAAGGTCTAAGATATTTTTGGTTGGTACAACAGGGTAGAAATGGGTAATGGTATCGAGTGGATAGACTCCAGGTTGCTTAATACCCTGTGGTCCTTAGGCTAGCCCCACCCTCAGGACAAAGCTTTGCTGGGCTCAAAGTGTGAATTGAGCTCTACTTTCCTTCCCCCGCCCCCCAGTTGCATAGAACATTCCGCTACACTAAGGAGGATCTGGTGTGAGCTTTTTGAGGCCAAGGACTAGCTTTCTCATCTGTAGAAAGACTGTGTCTATGCTCGTGATCATATGAGAAGGGTTAAATGCATTTTCTTAAAAGCTTTGTTACATATAAATCTTTTAGGAAATCTGAATTACCCCAGCTCACTTGCTATACCGATGACAAAGGGAAATACTCTTGTCATTGTTTATTTATATCTCACCCACTCCAAAAGAGCCTAGCTGAAGTGTGTGAAAAAACAGACTATGAAGCAGACTGGAGACTATGCAGGAATGAGGCTAGGTGAGATCATCAAAACAGGAGAATAAAGGCAAGAAAAGGAACAAGATTACTGACATCCAGTTTCTTGTGTAAGTCATTTGAGTTGTTAGTCAGTGAGAGGTTTCTTAGGGGGTCAAAATGACAAGAGGTTGTGGATGGTAGAAAATAAGAGCCATCTGGCTTTAAAGTCTCCCCATGCCCCAGTGTATCTATATATCATATAAAGGACCTTTGACTCTATAATCTGTGTACCACCCACCCAGCATGAGCCCATTTGATACATGGGTTCTGGAAGGCATTGGAGAAGGTATCGAAACAGCTAAGTGATCATTTGGGTTCACATTATTGCTAAAGGAAATTCGTTAGCCATGAGTGTAGAATAGCACATTTAAGCCACTTTATTCTGTCTGAAAATCATCATCTTAGTACATGGTAATTATAGCTTCTCTATATATACCCCAGTTAGTATCTCACTACTATATTGAACAGGAAAAAATTAAGTAAAATTATATGGCCTATCCTCCCATGGACAATTTGTAAAAACCTCAACATAACACACCTGCTATAAAATTGAAATTTACTAACTTATAATGAATGTGCTCTTTGCCGGGAATAACCATGCATAACTAATTAATGCCATGTTCGCCAGGGAGAAACAGGCACTTCCAAATGGTACACAACATGTTTGTGACTCTTTTGGAAGGGATAAAAATGCAATATTCCAGGAGTCCTCCTAACTATCCTGGCTGTGATGGTGGCTTATGCCCTTCTGCTTCCTTGAACATGTGTCCATATAGAACATACAACAGAACACAAATGATGACATGTGCCAAGGGAAGGGTGTTGAGTTGAACTGCATTCAGGGAAAGATCTTATGGCTGAAATTCTGGAATTAGAAATTAAAATAGAATTCTCAATGCCGGAAGCTGGAGAAATAGCTCACTGACTTGGAGCAATTGTGTTGCCAACATGCAGACCTGTGTTTGAACCTAACACCAATTAAAAAAAAAAAGTTAGGCATGGCTAGGCGTGCCTGAATCCCAGCACTGGGAGGTTGGAGATAGGCAGATCCTGGGAACTCACTGGTCAGCAAAACCTAGCACAAAATTAGTGAGCCCCTGTCTCCAGATAGCAAAATGATAGAAAATGCTATCTAGGATTTTCCTGCAGGATACCTGCAACATCATTGCTCATTGCTTCTCCTCACCTCAGATCAGGTACCTCTATCAGGGCAGGACTTACACTTTTGGTAGTCTTCTTAAAAATATGTACTTTCCCTGGGAAAATGTACATATATAAATACATACACAGTTATGTGCAAATACCAATGTGTGCATGGAACTACCTGATAAAATAGGAAAGGTCCTGCATTGCCCTCCATGCACACTCATAGGCACACTCATGTGCAAGCACCACACATACACATACCACACAGAATTTAATTAATTAATTAATTATAAAGAATTCTCAACATGGGGCAAAAGGCTGGTGTCAAGAATCTGCAAGACACAAAAGTACTGGTGAAAAATAAAGACTTGGTTAGGTGCCTGTGTTTCCCTTTTCCCCTCTGGACTCATTGGCTTAGATGGAAGGCAGTCCATCTTTTGAAGAAAACAAAGTGGTACCCAGAGCATAAATTTCCCAGAGGATAGAGGTACCTGATCTGAGGTGAGGAGAAGTAATGAGCAATGATGCTGCATGTATCCAACACTGATAGGAGCATCCAAGAAAACTCGTTAAATGTTTTCTTATCTGGATCCATTTTCTGCCCTCCCAGCAGTTAAACTGAACAAATTATGAAGAAGCCCTATTCTGTTTTCTCTGGCATACCTAAATAGAACTATCTGGAAATATCAATATGTGATCATCACTCGTGAAGCAATACTTCTGCTCAGGAACAATAGAGGGATCAAAGGAATAATCAGACAACCCTAAACGCAGCCAGAAACTCACTATCAACTGCCAATGGTAAATGAATCAGACTCTAGAGAGTAAATATGGGATTTTACCACCCTAGAAAGCTACAAGGAAATACAATGTACTTGATAGGAGAGTAAAGTATGCACCCGCTGCATCGGGTTGATGAAGGATGAAATAGGAAGAGCCCTACAAAGTTACAGCTCAGTAAGACCAATGCTAGTACACATTTACTGGACTGCAGCTAATCTTGTTGAGGTTGATATGACTATTGACGTTTTTTGTAAGTTGCCCATGATCCCCTCCCTCGGTGCTCCCCTTTTCTTGAGGTGGTACAGAGGTTAATCTTACATCTCTTCCTTCATGTATATTTTACCTTTTTATTGGGGAGCCCCTTCAGTTCACAAACCTCATATTACTCACAAAGCACAGACACAGTCTTAGGAAGAGGCACACCAAAAGTTTGTGGATCCCATAAACTAAGCATAGTACCTCAGTTAGAGGGCTGTCTCAGAGTCCAATGGATAAGGATGTTCCTATTTCTCCTTGTCATTATTGACATTTTGGTGAAGAAGCCACAGTGTCCTATTGTCCAATGGGTCATATTCATAAAAAATTATCCATTATGGAGTTGACAGTTAAAGGAGCTTGCAGGCTGGCAATATAGGTGTAATAGGACACATACTCACTAGACTGAGCCCAGCATCCCATATAGGATACAGCAGCTAACTCCATTCCCTGAGCAGTGGCATAGGCCTTGTTTCACCACACACTAAGTAATTATTAAGTACATACTTATCAAGTGTGTACTATGTATGTTGTATGGTGATACAACATGATGCCCTTAGGAAGCATGCTAAGAGATGTAAGCCTAAACATCCAGCATTGGCTATGGGGCTGTAGTCTTTGTTCTATGGTATCTATAACATGTATTTTCCTTGTTGCTACTAAAAAATGTCAGACAAAAACAACTTAAGATAGGAGGAAATGCTATATCATGGCTCACAATGGATACAGTGTACCACAGCAAGTAAGGCATGACAGGGGGAGCTTGAGGCTGCTGCTCACACTGCACCCTCAATCAGGAAGCAGAAGATGAATGTTGCTAGTGCTCTCCTGGCTTTTTTTCCTTTCTGTTCATTCTGAGGCCCCAGAACCATCACTGCCAAGAGTCAAGGTGGTTCCTCCCACCACAGTTAATCCAATCTAGAAACTTCCTCACAGACATGCCCAGAGGCCTGTCTCAAGGTGATTTTGGATCCTGTCAAGTTGATAATCTATTACTCATCTATGAACCAGTGCAGGGCTTTATTGCTATGATATTCTGTATATCCTCTAGTAACTTATTAGGACACTTGTACACACAACTTCAAGAGAAACCTGGAAAAGAATTTTAAGGAAATTCTTTATCACCACAATAAACATCAGATAGCAGCACCCCGTGGGCAAGCATCTTAAAGATGCCCAATACAAGAAAACAACCTGGGACTCGCAGCCATAAGTTCATGCACAAGGGAGCACAGATGCTCAGCGCCTGTGCTCAGACACCAACAAGTCCCCCAAGCCTGCCACCTCACACATGGGAACAATAGTCACCCCACCCCTCGGCCCAAAAAAGGTGTGGCCCATCCCACATACTTTCACTGGCTTCATTGAAGTCAGGATTTGCACTTTTGGTAATCTTCTTAAAAATATGTACTTTCCCTGGGAAAATGTACATATACAAATACATACACAGTTATGTACAAATACCAATGTGTGCATGGAACTACCTGATAAAAATTCTAAACAGTTATAACTGAATATATTCAAAAACATAATTTATTTTCCAGGTGAAGTGTCAGTAGAGAAGAGAGGTTTTAAATGCCTTTCCTACAAAAATACATTTGTGGTTGGTATATATTCTGTTACACAAAGATTGCTTAGTTTGGGGCATCCTCTGCCTTTGTTCCTTCCTTGTCCTTTTCCCCCCTTTTCTTTTCTTTTTTTTTTAAGTAAACTAATTTGCTATAGTGAAATGATTCCCTGCTTGCCTCTATCCAAATATTTAACTACCACTATTACTTTCTTAAGAAAATGAGATGTGAATTTGCATCATGCTCTTGCAAAAGCATATTGCAGTCCTACAGTGATTGACAAGCAACACAATTACCTTTGCATGGCTAGTCAGACCATTTCTGCATTAAAATAGGACCACATCTGTTCAGTGCATGGCAGCAACTCCCTTATACAGTGTGGGAATTGCTGTGTATCTATAGCTGCCTCCTCCCTGTGGGCCCCCATCTTCTTTTCATATATATATATATATATATGTATATATATATATATTTATATATATATATATATATATATTATTTTAAATGCAATAGTTTGCTGAGGAATTAGAAAAGCACTGGGAGCCATTCCTGGAAAGGGCCATACAACTCTGTAAGGACTCTCTCACACTCAGCTACTCCTCAAGAACAGCATCTTGGGGAATGTGATATCACTCAGTTTTCAGAGCGCTTGCCTACATGCGTAATTTCCTAGACTTGATCCTTAGCATTGCAAAACCTGGCATAGTGGTTCACATCTGTTTTCCAAGCACTTGGGAGGCTGAAGCAGGAAGATCAGAAGTTCAAGGTTGTGTCTGGCTACGTAGTGAATTAAGGCTAGCTTGGGCTACATGAGACTCTGGGAGGGGGTAGAGGGAGAATAGGGTCCCATAGAGTCTGAGCTTCAGTTTCATCATACATGTGATTAAAAATAACACCTGGAATATGTCACTTAGCAACACAATTCCCTTCCTTCTTGAACTACATGCAGCAACATTGCCCATTACTTGAAAGAAATACAAATCTTTTGCTACCCACCCTATCCAGATCTATTGAATCAAGTCCTCTGTATGACCAGCCATCTGTATTTCATCTGTTAGTCCCTGAGGTGAGTCTCAGGCACACTGAAGTTCAACCATGACTGTCTGCCATGTCATTAAGAGTTTGGCTATGGAACCAGAAGACCTGGGCTAGAATATTTATTAGTTAAGTCAATTAATCCATAGTGGGGAGACAAGGAGGGTGAGAAGCACAGATTACTTTGATGGGGCCCATCTCAGAGTAGTCAACTTGCAAATATGAGTCATCACAGTAATGATGCTTTTTCTGTGACTAATAACTTAGAGGCAGTAGCACTTTTGTAACACTGGCAGCCCATTCCTGTAGGTTTATTTTACTCTGTCGGTGAAATGAGAATGGCTACATCAGCTCATGACTTTCCAGGGTTATTAACATCATGAAGGTATATCACTCACTATCTCCTTTGTGCTTCCAAAATATACTTGGCACAAGTGGGCAATCCCTTCTCATTATGGTTGGTAAGAGCTAAAATTCTTGGCTTCTTTGCTCAGAAGCCACTACCTTCTAAAGGGCTTCAGGGACCTAAAGCTACTAAGTGTGTCCTTCCTCCAGGCTCTCCAAGGAGCCAGACACCTTCCAACCAAGGGTCATTTGCCAGCCTGCTAGTCCTTCCAGGCTCCCCCTGTTCCTTCCTTTCCTCTTCCAGGGTGCCTCTGTTCCTTCATTCTGCAGCAAAGACTGCAGCTCTCACTGTAGCTTGATGCATGACTGTGGCTTTACTTTCCCCTCTGATGACTCTAGACCTCTAGGGATCAGTGGTGGGAGAGCCTCAGCCATGATGCCCCAGCGCAGTGGTTGGGGCAGAGGAAATCTAATAATGCAGAAGGCCAATACTTGCATCCCATTTGTTTGTGCTTATCAAAATGAGGAAGCTTGCCCACTGTTTCCCTTCAATTCTATATCTCATAAATTTGGGATGCCAGAGGTTTCAAAATAACTTCCCATAGCCCATGTACAAACCACAGCAACTGGGTTATTTTTCAGAGAAAAGGCTCCCAAAGGCAAATGACACAATGTGTTCTTTCTTGCTGTGGGTGCTCTTAATACAAATAGATGGGAAAATGACTGACATGGCAATGGCCCCTATACACAAACACTCCTTCTGGAGAAAGCAGCAGCCATTTTCCCTTCCTCATTTCCTCCTCATCTCACTGGCAGAGGAAGAACCAAGTCTCAGCCATGTGGCATAGCTCTTCCCTCCTTTCCAAGCTGTGTGCCCCTGAGCCTCCAAAGCCTACGTTTGGCTTTTCTCACTATTTTTCATAAAATGAGGCTGACAGTTAGGAAAATGCAAGCCTCCTCATATTTAAATGCATACTAATTTTTAAAAGATTAATATTTATCCATACCCCTCTAGTATTCTGTATTGGTAGGATTCACGATTGTTTAATTTTATCTCTTTTTTTTTCCTCCAATACCAATAACCATTATGGCTAAATATGCAAACCACCCTCTCAACAGCTAGTTTGTATGTTTTCTGGGACTGAGATAAAGAGTTAAAACATAGATGAGATGCAATGGGGTGGAAATCCAATGAGTGCAACTTCTATGGCCAAACAAAGCATGGACACAAATGCCTTTTATAGGAGGTAGAAGCTAATGAGCCACCTAGATAGACAGAGTCTTGACACATGGATGCTGGTATTCACAGGGACAGCATAAAACTCAGCTTCGGGTAGCCTGGGTCACAGTTACAGAACTTGTCACCTCAGTGCTAAGCATGCTGGCCATCATTTTGAAAGCATTACCTGACTAAATCCTACACCTGTTTGTCTGCACATGTGTGCCTTGAGGTTGCACTTGGTGACCCACTTTTCCCATTTTGCACAGAGTAAGTCAAGCACGGCTGTCTTAGTAATTCTGTTCCAGGCCGCAGAGCCATTGACTGGGGAAGCTGCACTTCAGTGCAAATGTCTATGTTTCTACACCTTGCCTGTCTCTTAAGTGATGACCTAGCTGCTTTTAGATGGGGGTACTGGGAGAAGAGACACTGGGAACCAAAGGGTGGCATGAATAAAAGCATGATGGCATGAAAACATGACACAGACATGATCTTGATGCAGCTAAGGCTCGGGTCTGTGCCTTGGGAACCTAAGTCAGTATCTGTTGCTTGCCTGCTTTTCATCAGATCTGTTCTAAGGCCTGTTTGGTAGAAGCTGACCTTGCCTTCTGACCCCACAACAGACAGTGCCTTTTTACGTTGCTAATGTCAAAAGCAAATTCAAAGCCTAGCTCAGGACCCTACACACCTCTGGCTGCCTTTTGGACTAGGGTTTAGCACTGCTTGACAAGTGTTCTTGTGAAGTGTAGCCCACCAGGATCAAATACAAACAACAGCTGAAAGGCATTCTTTCCAACCTCCTTAGTGTGTGAAAGACCTGCCACACTTTAAGGATAATGGTCCTTGGGGGTTTGCCAATCAGCTCTGAAAAAGCACTGGGAAAGAAGTGCACTCCCGTGTTCTCCAGCAAGCCAGTGTCACTGCTTTGTGTGTGTGTGTGTGTGTGTGTGTGTGTGTGTGTGTGTGTGTGTGTGCACTTAGGTGATGAAATGCACTCTCCCTTGGCTTGAGATGCCTGGCTTTTCTGCGTGTTCATTCTGCTCGTGAAATCCTTTCATATCAAAGTTGTGCTTCTATTAGGGCCCTGACTTGACTCCTCATGGGAAGATGCTAGGGGAGGGAACTGATGACTACCATGCTCTGAAAACAAAGTTTAGAAATACAACATTTTATACTCAGGGTATCTGCTGTCTCAGAAAAGCCTGTGAGGAGTCCAGGGCCTTGGTAACCCCACTCAGATACTTAAGGAATAGAACATGTCCCTAGGACGACATAACATTGAGCTTCTTTGCCTTGATATTCTAAGAGACTTGGAGAAGTCCAAGATCATTCTTTGTCCCCTGGAAGGAGCTTTTTTTCTGGGATTCTGAGACCAGGGACTGGGGTGCATTATTGAAAGCTTTCACAACATTAGGTTTATTCTGTCATAAAGTAGAATCTTGCCTTAGCCTGAATATGATTTATCTGAATATGAACAAACATGTATACAATTGAACCTACACACACACTCAGAAATACATAAGGGTTTGATGCACACAGACACATATATGCACTCCCATGCATTTGTACATATGAAAAATATACATATTTTGTAAACATGCATATCTGTATATGTTTATACATAGATACACATAAAAGTTTTCTGTTACATTGACAATTAAAGTCTCACAGAACTACCACTGATAATATTACCTTATGAAATGATTATAGAAGAAAATGTCTGAGTCACCTGGGTGTCCCCTGAGACCATTTCGCTCTAGCCCATCATCAAAGTGTTCTCTGAGTCTCTGCCCTTGCAAGCCCATTTAGACAGATGCTGTGTTTTGTATTTGTTGGTGAGGGGAGTTGTGGCTTGATTCCAAACTTTAATATTGTTAAGATTCTCAGGTCTGTGTAGGCTACTTGAAAATGCACACCAGCCCTTTTGCCTTTCCAAGCCATGTGATGCACCTTCTTCTGAAAGAGGGAAGTTCATTTTGGTGCTCAAGCAAAAGCACTCTGACCCTGGTCCACCATGGAACCCCAGCCTACACAACTTCCTGCTTTGATGGACAGCTGTTGTCTCCAACCTCCTTAATCAGTTTGAAACTCTCCTCAGTTCCTGTGTTTTGGATCATGAGACCAGACTAACCTGGCCTGTGAGGGGGTTGGTGCGTCTGCATGGGGAACTGCACTAATCCGAATGTTTCTCTTTGTGTGTGCACCTTTACAGTGTTGTTTACCAGGATGGATTTTATGGTGCAGACATTTATGTAAGTATTCATTAACGTGCATGCCGTCCTCCTTACCTCCAGGAGTCATTCCTTATACAAGTTTGCTCTGAACTCAGTGGGGGCAGACTACCTCTTCTGGGGCATGTCTTTCAAGGTAGAAGGGCTGATGATCATGAGCTCAAAAAACATGTGACATGCTATTTGAGGGTAATTAATGGCTTGGGCTTGATCAACTTTGGAACAGATAAACACAACTGCATCTATTAAGAAAGATGGTTTTTCTCTCACATTTTAAATTGTTGGTAGTTGCAGAGATTCCTTGAAAATCATTTCAGATTCTGTTTTATTTAAAGAAATTTTTTCCCTAGGCCTACAATCTCATTATGATATTTTACAATAAATAGCTTCATGGTCATTATCAGAGGTTCTGGAATGTGTAGGCTAAATCAGTCTCCACTTAATGTTTGTCTCTTATTTCTCTATAATCCATTAAGTAAAGCACAAAATTCCTAGATTTGGTCCCCTCTGATCAAGGCACATTCTTCCTGTGCAATCTCTTCTCTGCTCTACAGCCTATCTGAGAGGACCAACCACACCCACAGTAGAACACTCTCTAAAACTACTGCCCAACTACCTGTATTCCACTGTCTCCTTCCTTTTGATTTTGTCCTCTAGGACCTCATTCCCCTACTACTTGATGTTGAATCTCTTAGGCATTTCTGAGACTTCTTAGTATTGACAGAGAACCAAGGATTAGAAAGACCTTCTAGAACCCTATGACAGTCAAGTTGCAAGGTCCTACCCACAATGATCTTCTTAATCTTTTCAGAGAGGAGAAGGTTAAAGGAAGAGGTAGAAAAGATGTAGATGCCAGTTAATTACCACAGAGCATAGTCTTGCCATGGATCATGTGCTCAGAAAATCTATGGCAAAGAAAGCAGCCCTCCTATACAGGAGGTTCCCTGCCAGAAAGTGGCTGCCTCTGGGCCTTGGGATAAACTTGTGCACTGTGCGGACAGCTACATATCAGAGACAAGGAGAATTCTGAGTCAGAGCAGGGGATGTGCAGGTTCGTCACCAAAATCTTCTCTATTTTAAACGATAGGGATGCCATGTTTATAAATAGCATACTAAGTCTGAAAGAGAGCTGGAATTTTAATGAAAATATTGAAATGAACTTATTAGTTGATTTTCTTACTGCTGTGGCAAAATTCCTGACAAAATAAACTTAAAGCTTACTTAGGATCAAGTTGGAGGGTACAGTCAATCATGGTCACAAGTCCTGGTAAGTAGGAGCATGAGATGGCTGGTCACATGGCATCCACAGTCAAGAAACAGATGGAAATGAGAGCCAGCTTGCTTTCTCTTTTTCATTCAACTGGAGGCCCTTGCCCATGGCAAAGTGCCACCCACACTTAGTGTATGTCTTCTCATTTCATTTAACCCCATGGAGAGATTTCCTGCTATACATGCCCCAGAGTTTGTTTCATACATAAGTCTAGATCCTGTCAAGTTGATAATTAACCACCACATTCATTTTAATTTAAAAAAAAATGTCAAATTAAGTAACAAAAAAACAATGACCAGAACAATATTGATTGAAAGTTGTAGAAGTTAACTTCCCTAGACCTACAAATCCAGGTCCCCTGTTCCCCAATGAAGCTATAGAAGTCTTGAAGCTACACAAGGAGTAGAAAATAAGTGTCAGTTGACATTTGCTGGGAGGATCAAAGAAGATGACCTCTGATCAAAGGCAATGGCTGGAAATGGACAAAGGGACAGAAAGTATGGTAGAGCAGAGAAAATGTGATGAATGCTTGGTGGAAAATAGGGAAAGACAATGGTAAATTAGACAATAGGATAGAAATGTGGGGGTATGGGAGGAAGGAGAAAGAAGGCACAGAGTGTTAATGTTACCTGGGTCTTCATTGAGAATACCCTAAGTTTCTGAAGAGGAGGAGCCATGCTGAGACCCACTACCCCACCACCAACATATAAATTTCCACAAGATTCCAAGGCATTTCACACTGTTGGAACTTCTAGGGTCTCAATAAAACTGTTTTGCATTCAAGTAACTTGCAAAAAATAGGTGTGGTTCCTCCATGCTGTGTGAACTTGGGAATAAGAGGAGTGAGCCTGGAGCTTTGCAAACACCCGAAACCAGAAGTCTTGCAAACTTAAGCCTCAAGCCTTTCCTTCCCAAGACTTTATGTTGAAAAGGTCCATGTGGGGATCACATTAGGCTTAACATCCTCAGTCACTATGAAGACTCAAGGGTTCTGAAGAGGTAAAGACATCAGAGGGTACTCGGTCCATGCCACAGCATCTTCTCCTTACCACAGCCAGTGAGACAGGGACTTTATCGCCTCCATTTCCTTCAAAAGAGGAACGTTTTCTTCCAGAAAAGATGAAATAGTTTATTCAGATTCTTCCCTGATACCAAAGCTTGAACCCATGTGATTTGAAGACAGTTCAACACTTAAACACTGGACAACAGATTAATTCAAAATGGTGGAATTCTAGAAATACAGTAAGAAATGGGGGTGTGAAAAGGTAATATAGAGATTATGGGGGGTGCTGAGGAGGTGGCTCTGCAGTTAATAGCTGTTCAATCATGAGGATCAGAATCTAGACCCAGGACCCACATAACAAGTCAAGTGATGAGAATTCTGACCTCCTTAATGAAGACACACCCACTCATCCCTCATAGGCATAGGAAGAAAAGAAAGGAAAAGAGGTGCATCTAAAGGGTTCAGTAGACCACTAGACTGTAATATCTGTGCCTAAAACATTCAAATGAACAATGAAAACTAGGGAGAAAAGTAAGAAGGAGAAAGAGAAAAGAGATAGGACAGAGAGGGAGAGGTGGGGGAGAGAACAGGAAATTAAAATAAATTTGAATAGGAATAACTCAATGCTCTTAAATTTCAGAAAAGCTAAATGTAACCAAAATCTTGGAAAGCCAGTTGACTTTAAAAAAATGTGTACACAGATCCATAAGACAAGTCCCTAAATGTCTTCAGATAGTCAACCACTTTGCTATCTGCCATGGAAGCCAAAGAATTTCTTTTCCAACTCAATTTCTCTTCCACCTCCAGTGAGCCACATGAAATAGCCCTGTGGCAACTCTCTCATTTTACAGCTGTTCTCAGTCTGTATGGGGCTCTACTGAGATGTGATCAGAAATAAGCATGTTAAAGATGTGTGCATCACACTGTAGCTATCTTAAGTGCACCCACAGACTCGCTTGGTAAGAGTGTCTAAATGTGACTGAAGCCCTCAGTGTGATCAATGCAGTCCTGAAGAGCCATTTTGCTGTGTGAGCAGAAATGGTTAAAGTTGCTGTTTCAGTCCAGGTTGTCCCTGCTCATTTATCTTAGCCCTCTAAGTCTTAACAACAAAACTGAATCCTCAGGTAAGCCAGAAAATTCCAACCACGAGATAAAGAGAGAATCATCATACTGAAACTGTTGGGATGCAGATTAAAAGGTGAGAAGCCATGAAATTATCCTTTTAGCTTTCATAAAAGCAAACATGGGTATATCCTAAATGCAGACCACACGGTTTGAGCTCCATGTTCACCTCCTTTATAACTGTCGGTATGGGGATTTGCAAGTCCAGAACTGGGACACGCCTAGCCCTGCTTTTGGTTTGGCAGATTGCTCTCAACACTGAACTAAGAGAAGCAAACTTGTAAATGAATTGCTCCATGGTTGCTGTCTGATTTGTGCACTTTCTTTTATTTATTTCATTTTTGCATTGAAAACATTACATCTCTGTTTCCTTATAGAGTAGTGTATCAAGAGCCAGTGTATGGCAATAAATTGCTACAGGTATGACTTCCTGACTGACGGAAAAACACTCATCATGTGGTTGTGGGTTTGCTCTGAAATCCTCACTAACAAGATGATTCCTGGGAGGGCAAATGTTCTCTAACACAGAGGGAGCCTTAACTGAATTTTCCAGTTCAATTCCCATTCTCCTGTGAACTTTCTGACAGGTCCACAGTGGGGATGGGACACTTCCTTCGAGTCCCAGCACTGTATATGCGCACTTAGCTTGATCATGAATTTACCATGTGAGAGGAGAGGTCTAATGTGGCTTTTAATTTCTTGAATTATAAAAATCAAACCACCAAAACCAAAAAGGGCCAGGAAGATGTCCCAACAGACAGAAATGTTAACTGCTAAGGCCTGGCAGCCTCCGTGAGTTTGATCCACAGAAACAAAAGTAGACAGAGCGCACTGACTCATGAAGATTGTCCTCTGACCTCTACACCTCTACTTGCATTCTGTGGCATGTGTGCACACACCACACACACATGCACACACACACACACACACACACACACACACACACACACACACACTACATGTACTTACATGCACATAATAAAATAAAAATAATAATAATACAGAAACAAAGGCTTTAGATTACAGATATGGTTCAGTAGGTAAAGCACTTTCTGTGCAAATATGGGGACCACAGTTTTGAATCCCCCAGAGACCAAATAAACTC